TTCCAACTAGGAACACACGCTTCTTGCCGAACTTGACACTTGACTGACTCATGACTGCCATCCGGAGCACACGAGGAGCACGCCGCACCTTCCACTCGGCAAACCTGCAAGAAAGCACCACTCCCTGCTCAATACACAGTGTTTCGGGGAATTCACCCCTCATCAGTTGAGCTTGATCCTAGTTGGAACAATCAACTTCATGACTATTACCGCCAAAGTCGCAACTTCTAAGTGACAAAGGAGTAGTAATATTACCACTGAAACTCGCCCAAAGGGTACCCGTAACTTCGGGGTCCGGATAACCCGATATATGAGTGTATCTGTACATGTGGATGTTCACGTGACCAGTTTCTGGCAGTGAGCAAGTACTGTACACGTATGGGTGTGGATGTGTGGTTAGGTCAGGTGTGTACACGTATGTGTGTGTGTGTGTGTGTGTGTGTGTGTGTGTGTGTGTGTGTGTGTGTGTGTGTGTGTGTGTGTGTGTGTGAGTGTTGTTGAGCTGGAAGTCGGTTTGCGATTTTTTAGCTCTGGCGAAAATGGAGTTGTAGCTGCCTTCAGCAGCCATGGCTGTGTGGTGTAGACCAGGCCATGGCTGCGGCAGCATGTCTCTCAGAGGAGTTGCGACCCGCTGAGAGTAGTTTCACAAAGAGCACTAGAAAAACTGAGTTGGAGCAGGCGCTTGAAATTTTGAATTTTTTGAGCGAAGAATGAAGTCCAAAGGGAATGGAACGAAAAGGAATTTGTCCGTGGCGACGTGGAACGTCCGCTCTTTGGTGGAGGATAGTGGAGATGCCAGAGTCTGTCGTGCTGTTCCGTCCGTGACTGCGACTGCTGTTGACAGAAAAGTGGATTTCCTCGTCGATGAATTTCAAAAATTCAAAATCGACATTGCAGGCGTGCAGGAAACAAAGTGGTTCGGACGTGACATTTGGCGTGTCGGCGGCAGCACCTTTCTACACTCGGGACGGCCTCTGCCTGGCGATGGTGAGGCAGCGAGACGCAACGAGGGAGTAGGGATAATGATGAACACAGAGTTCACGGCGAAGTGGCGGCGCGGTGGCGAGCAGTGGAGCGCAATCAGCTCAAGGGTCATCATGGCTCGCTTTCTCATCGGCGAGAGGGATGAGGTCCTGCAGGCTGGCAGGAGACGCCGCTCTGATTATTTCCTGACGGTGATCAACGTTTATGCGCCGACGAGCAAGGCCCCTCCAAACGTCAAGAATCAGTTTATGACGGATTTGCAGTCAGTTGTGTCTGACGTACCTCCTGGTGATTTATTTGTGCTGTTGGGAGATTTCAATGCACGTGTTGGTTCTGGGCAGCGGGCTGCAGGTGGTGTTGGCCGTTTTGATGGGGTGCCAGATGATGAAATTGTTTGGGGCTCTGCTGTTGGTCAGTTTGGTTTGGGCGCGTGTAATGGAGCTGGTGAGGATTTGTTGATGTTTTGTGCTGCAAATAATCTGTCAATCATGAACACATGGTTCCGGAAGAAAGAGTCACGTAGAGGCACCTGGACACATCCTGCTACCCGTCAAGCACATGCCATCGACTTTGTTATGATGCGCGCAGATCAGCGACATCTCTGCTTTGATGTTGGCGTTCTCCGTGGAGCCTGTTGTTGGACGGATCATTTCCTGGTTCGTGGAAAGTTGAACGTGGACTGGCGTGTGCGTCGCTCTGCATCTTCAAGGAGGAGGCCTTTTGCTGTGCATCGTCTTCGCGACCGTGATACGCTCGTGGAATATCAGCAGAGGATTGAATCTGTTTGCACTGCTGCTGCCGGCGCCGGCACAGCAGAGGAACAATGGGAGTCGCTGAGGAACGACATGGGCACTGTGGCCGGTGACGTGCTTGGACATGGGCGACAGACTCAGCCGGACTGGTTCTTGTCCAGTAAGGACACCCTGGAGCCGCTCATTGCCGTCAAGCGACAAGCTAACGCAGACTATGTTTCTTGTGGCACGCCATCGTCTCGTAAGGCCTTGAGATCTGCCCAGCGAGCTGTGGGCAAGGCTGTTCGGTTAGCTAAGGAGGCGTGGATCAGCGCAATTACGGATGAAGCTGAGGCCGCCCAGAGGGACGGCTCTGTCCGCTGGAAATGTATCAAGAAGTTGCGGGGAATGCACACTGGCCGACAGTCAGTGGTGACATCCAGCGTTCGGGATGAGAATGGCAACTTGACAGACGGTCCAGAGAGTGTGGGAGCTTGTTGGCATCGCCACTTTGATCGTGTCCTTAATGTTCAGAGTGTGTTTGATGCGGAAGTCATTGAATCCATGCCAGTGCTTGGCATCAGGCAAAGTCTTGACGACCCGCCCTCTTTTGAGGAAGTGGTATCGGCGATCAGGAAGCTACACCCAGGCACTGCGGGTGGACAGTCTGGAATTGTCCCGGAGATGATTCTTGCTGGTGGCGAGGCCTTGCATGAGCGCGTCCACAATGTGATCAATGAGGTATGGACCTGCGGTTCTGCCGTGTCTGACTGGCGAAACGCAGAGATCGTCCCTATCCCCAAGAAAGGTGACTTACGGTCCTGCGATAACTGGCGTGGCATCAGCCTCCTGGATGTGGTCGGCAAGGTCTTTGCTCGTGTTCTTCAGGGTCGCCTGCAGGCGGTGGCAGAGGATGTTCTGCCGGATTCCCAGTGCGGATTCCGCAGGGGCCGTGGCTGCAGTGACATGGTATTCACCGCAAGACAACTGATGGAGAAGGCAGTGGAGCACGATTCTGAGCTATATGTGCTTTTCGTCGATCTGCGCAAGGCCTATGATTCAATTCCGCGGTCTGCTTTGTGGCTTGTGCTCCGCAATCTGGGCATTCCTCCGAAGCTGCTTGGCCTTGTCCAGTCGCTCCATGAAGGCATGGAGGCGCGTGTTCGGCTCCCTAACGTCGTCACGGACAACATCAACGTCCGGAATGGCTTGCGTCAGGGCTGCACACTGGCGCCTACGCTCTTTAATCTGTATTTCTCTGCAGTGGTCTCTTCGTGGCATCGCCAGTCTTCTGTTCCGGGTGTACGGGTCCGCTACCGTGTCGGCAGGAAGCTTGTTGGGGATCGGACCGCCAAGTCTCGACTGGCCTCCACTGACGTCACAGAGTCCCAGTTTGCTGATGATGCGGCTCTCTACACCACCTCTTTGAGCCACCTGGAGACGATGACAAACGAGTTTGTGTCCTGTGCTTCGGGTTGGGGTCTAACTGTGAGCGTCCAGAAGACCAAGGCCATGGCGGTGAACTGCTCTCACCCGCCACCTTCCATTGATCTTCAGGATGGAGGAAGCGTGGAGGTTGTGGACAGCTTTACCTATCTTGGCAGTGTCCTGAGTGCAGACGGTGCTCTGGACAAGGAGCTCACCTCCCGTCTTGCCAAGGCCTCTCGTGCTTTTGGCGCTCTCCAAAAGCCAATCTTCGGGTGTAGCGGCCTATCCATTAAGTCTAAGCGTCTTGTCTACAAGGCCATTGTCCTCCCTACCCTCTTCTATGGAGCAGAGACTTGGCCCATGAAGGCCCGGCAGATGAATCGCCTGAATCTGTTTCATCGCTCATGTGTCCGTTCCATCTTGGGAGTCTCAAGGAGCGATCAGCACTCCCGTCATCTTAATACTGCTGATCTAGCCCAGAGAGCGCGTCTTCCTGAGGACATTGGCGCTCTCCTGCGTGAGTACCGTCTGCGTTGGCTGGGTCATGTTGCCCGTATGGACGCGGCCCGGATTCCTCAACAAGTGTTGTTTGGTGAGCTCGAAGCAACCAGACCACGGCATGGGCCAAAGAAGCGTTGGCGAGACACGATTGTCGGTGATCTGCGCTCGCTGGATATTCCGGAGTCCGAGTGGTATCGGCTCGCACAAGATCGCTCGGAATGGCGCAGGCGGGTTCATCAACATCGTCTTCCTCCCCGGCACCGAAGGACTTTCATTGCGCATGCGGCAGAGCGTTTAGGAGAAGTGGCGATTTGAAGCGTCACATCAAGTACTGCCCAACTCAGTAGCCTATCATCTCCACTGGAGATGGGGCGTCAAAGGTCAAAGGTCAAGGTGTGTGTGTGTGTGTGTGTGTGTGTGTGTGTGTGTGTGTGTGTGTGTGTGTGTGTGTGTGTGTGCGTGTGTGTGTGTTACGACACACTGGATTCGCATGGCTTCGCAGGTTGTGTGGGTTGGACAGTTATCTGGCGCTAGTCTTGATCTGTCTCATTCAGATCTTGTCTGCTATCGTTGCTATGTATTAGAGAAAAACTGTGGGTGCACATCCAGTGCATTTGCAGATTTGCGTGCTTCTCTTGCGACGGGCGTGTACATGGTACATGGTGCACGGTGTGGGTGTGTGTGTGTGGGTGGGTGGGTGGGTGTGGGTGGGTGGGTGGGTGGATGTGTGTGGGGGGGGGGGGGGGATTGGTATGTGTGGGTGTGGGGGGGGTATGCATGTGTTTGCATTGGTGTGTGTGTGGGGGGGGGGGGGGGGGTATGCATGTGTTTGCATTGGTGTGTGTGTGGGGGGGGGGGGGGGGGGGGGGTATGCACATGTGCATGTGTTTGCATTGGTGTGTGGGCGGCATTGTGTTACTTCTTGTCCCTGTGTTGCTGGTGCCAGCGGTGTGGGTCTGATTCAGCACTTGATCCACGCACTTTGCCACTTCTCCCAATGGTCTTCATGGTCATGTTTTGCACATGTGTATTGTTGGTGGGACTTGCGCATGTGTATTGTTGGTGGCACTTGTACAGCCGGATACTGACCAGGATCTGTACAAGATCCCTCCGCTCGGAAAACATTACTCCTACCGGTGAGTGAATGCTAACTACTTGTCAGTGCAACTCTGGCTGTTTCTTCTAGCTACCAGCTCTGCTTTCTACAAGATTCCCTGTGCGCATTCAGCCATGTTTCTCCCCAGACTCGTTCCAGGACAGTGGAGCTAGGCTGTCATTGCATTTGTTGTGGTATGTCTTGCTTGGTCTTTGTGCTGCTCCTCCTCCTGATGGTGGTGATGATGACAGCAACGGTGCTAGTGGTATTCTCATTACCTCTTCTATAAGCAGTGCAGTAGCAACAGCAGCAACAGCATCAGTAGCGATAGCAGTAGCAACAGCAGCAACAGCATCAGTAGCGATAGCAGCAGCAGCATCAGCAGCAATAGTAGCAGCAATAGTATAAACATTGCTGTTGCCGTTTCCGTAAAACTCTCAGACTCCATTGCAGCGTAGTTTTCACATCGGAAAATATCTCCATGGATGCCCTGATGATGCCCAATGGGCGAAATATTGGCATTAGGAAATCTATTCGATGCAGCTGAGAGCCTGTTATGTACGGTGTGCAATAGAGATATTTTCCGATATTGCTGTTGCCATTAATATTTTTTATCTTTCAATTTTGCTACAATTTTGCTGTTCACCTTTTGAATTCTTTGCCCTCCTTGCATTCACATCTTCAAGTCATTGCTTTGTGCGTTCAATAAAACACCTTTTAGTAGCAGCAATAGCAGAGCAGTAGCAGTAATAGCAGCAGTAGCAGTAGCGATAGCAATACCGTAAAATCCCGCCAGAGCGCGCCTACCTCTGCGACCCTTTGAGTAGGTCCAGGTGGGGAGGGGTGGATGGGCGAGTCCAACTTGCCGTGTTCAGTACTATAAGTACGTGAAAAAGTACACACCCTTCGAAAACTGTGCGTGCGTCTCATACACCGACCAAAGGTCAAGAGCAGGGAGTTGTACAGACCCATCAAAACCCAGGGTTTGTGCGATGCCTGATCAAGAGGGTGGGAACTGTTGCGTACTTTTCCAACCGGGCCGAGCACTCGTCTTCGGTACAGTATGGCATCACACTTCACAGAGTCATACAAGGATTCACTTCCCTGACAAGAAGTCGGGGAGGGGCGCATGGGAGAGACAGGGCGCTCTGGCGGAATTTTACGATAGTGGCAGCATCAAGGGTATCCGTAGCAACAGAGAGTACTGGTTGCGTAACGTCTAAGTCAGCAGAGTACATCTAGCAATGCACAGGCTGTCACTATGGGTAGTACTCTCAATGCTTCGTTCTCTCTCTCTCTCTTTCTCTCTCTCTCTCTCTCTCTCTCTCTCTCTTTCTCTCTCTCTCTCTCTCTCTCTCTCTCTCTCTCTCTCTCCATACAACTTGCAGCTGGGCCCAGGAAGATATTGGTGATGATGACAAGGCGGCTAGTCGAGCAGGTGCAGGTGCAGGTGCAGGAGGGAGCAATGTCAGGGACAAGACCAGGTCACTGTCGTCATCCACTTCGCCAGCAAACAGCGCTTCACAGCCCACCAACGGATCTGCAGGTACTATGATCAACTGCCTAGATGTACTGGCGTGGACTTTGAAAGTAGAGAGGTTGCGCACAGCGAAAAAAATTAACGAAAAAAGCTAACGAATATTCATGCACCGTGAGGTTGCGCACAGCGTGTGAACTTTTTCGTAGTGGGTCGACGGGGTGGTCGCGCGCGTGTGAAGAGTCAAGACAGGGAGTTGTAAAATATCAGTATTTTACTACTCCACGTAACGAAAATTATTTTCGTAGATCTGCTCTGTTGCGGTCGCGTTTGGACGGATCTTCGTAGCAACTTTGGTTACTCAAACCCGGATGGTCCAAATCTTACGGATTTTCGTTGTGCACAACCTCTCTAGTGTTCCGGTGGTGTACAGTACATGTGTGTACAATCTGCAATGCTGTGTCACGTACATTCTGTGGAGTACCAGCCGCAATTCATCTCAGAAAGGTTTTGCAGAAATCTGTGTCTGGTGCGGTAGGGGTGCATTTTTGTATGCACCCTGTCAGATGTGGCGTCCTTTTTCACTCCTAGAGCTGTGTGTATGTGTGTGTGTGTGTGTGTGTGTGTGTGTGTGTGTGTGTGTGTGTGTGTGTGTGTGTGTGTGTGTGTGTGCGTGCATGTGTGTGCGACTGTGCGTGCGCGTGTGTGTGCGTGTGCAAATATTCACCCCAGACAACCAGAGCGTGACCACTGACGAGGACAGCAGTCGACAGGAGACCTGCTCGCTTGGCCCGCTCACACAGCGACTTGTCTCGGTAAGAAATATGCGTGTGCCATTCGGGGATGGAGTGGTACAGACTCTGCTTGTGCCCAAGTTACCCGTATGTCGAAAATCTCGAAATGCTCGCACAGTGCTGTCCACAGCGCTGTGTCGAACACTACGGGCACACTCGGAGCTGGTCTGCACAGTGTGCTCATCCACACTGAACTGATGAGTTCAGTGTGGATGAGCACACTGTACTGATCAGTCTAGTTCAGTGTGGATGAGCAGGCTGTACTGGTCAGTTCAGTGTGGATGAGCAGGCTGTACTGATCAGTTCAGTGTGGATGAGCACACTGTGCAGACCAATAAAGTGCACAGTGAATCTCGAGTCATGCCTTGCTAGCTGCGAAAAGTATTATGAGTAGGAATCACGCACATTTTCTACGTAAGCGGATTTCATGGGGTTTCTAATAGGCACACGTGACCTGTTTGAGGTTCAAACTATCAGACATCGTGATGT